CGGGGTTAAGTGAGGTCTCGTCCACCACGCGGTCGTACTCCAGCAGGAACTCGTCCAGCTCCCCCGAGGCGCCGAAGGCTCCCCACTCCGTGTTGACACACATCCGGCCCTCGTCGCCCTCCACCAGCTCCACGTTCTGCATCTCCTCCATGTAACAGGCGTTACAGCCCGTCCCTGCCAGCGGGAATCAGGGATGGGGGGGACACCAGCACCCACCAACACCCTGCATTCCTCCCATATGAACAGCTCCATAGGGCAGCTGGTGCCGGCCCCATCTCCCTGTGCTCAACCCTCCCACCAGCCTCTGGGTCTTGTCCCCATGGGTGCTGGTGCCGCGGTGCAGTGAGGGCAGCCGTGCCTCTAGGAGCTGATAAACAGCAGCGCTGTGTTTACCCAGCCCGAGGGGAAGGTGCCAGAGCCCAGATGGCTGCGTGCTTGCTGTGGGGCTGGGAGGTGGTGGGGGTTCAGACCATTCCCCTTCATTGGGTGCCTATCCATTGGGTAAGACCTTGGGGACGGACCCATTGAGGTGACCATAACCTTTGTACCCCTCCTGTCATCCCCTGTCCTCGCTGTGTCCTTCCAAAGGACAAGCTCCTGCCCGCAGCAGGGGCCATGGGAACGGTCGCCCCCTCCCTGCCGTGGTCCCTGTGGGAAGGGGCATCTTACCCACAATCATCCCAACCTCGCACCGGTGATCTTCGTAGTAGCAGGAGATCATCGTGGCCACCGTGTCATTCACCATCGCCACCACGTCCATCTCGAAGTCCTGCAGAGGGGAGAAGCACCCTCAGGGGCTGTCCCACCACAGGGTCCGGGGTGAAACACACCGGGCTCCAGCTGGGAATGCCGGGGTGTCCCTGGCGGCACAAACCCTGCGATCATCTCACCCCGCGGCGCTTGATGGCATCTCTCAGGAGCCCGACCACGTTGTTCCCTTCTGCGCCGGAGGCTTTGAAGCCCTTGGTCCAGTTCAGGAGGATGCCCTGGAGCAAGGGTAAGGCTGAAATGGAGCTGTGGGGGCAGCTTGGTGACCCCCAAATCCCCATCCTGCCCAGGCACCCCCTCACCTTGTCGATGTCCTCGTGCCGCACAGGGAAGGAGAAGGTGAAGCCCAATGGCAGCTTTTTGTGCTTCATCTGGTGCTTGTCCAGGAAGTCAGAGATGCACTCGGAGATGTAGTCAAAGAGCTGGAAGAGAAGAGGTGCCCAATGCCACCATCCCCACCACAGCTCCCCCGAGTGTGGCCACCTCCTCTTGTGGAGGGATGAGGGAGGTACCAGTGGCACAGTGAGCCCAGCACAGCGCCAGGGACAGTGTGGATGGGACGGGAAGCCCTGTGTAACCTGCTCACCATCTCGGCTGTTCCCGTCATGGCATCCTCTGGGATGGAATACATCTGGTGCTTCGTCTTCACCTTCCACTGCCCTTCCTCCCCCTCGCCCACCTTCACCAGCATCACACGGAAATTGGTGCCTCCAAGGTCTAGCGACAGGAAATCTCCAACCTCTGCAGAGCCAAGGGGGGGACAAGGGGTGACCGGCTCAGGGGGGGCTCACACTGAGCCTGGGAGGATGGGACACAGCCAAGGACCAACCAGCGCCATACCTGAGCCCTCGGGTGTGGAGCGGACGTAGGTGGGCAGCATCTTGACAGAGGCTTCCTCGTGCGTCTCCAGCTTCAGCCCCCGGTCCATCTCCTTCTGCATCCGGTACATCACCTTCTTCAGGTCCTCCTCCTTGAGCCGGAACTCTGACAGGATCTGCTCCACCTGCATGGAATGGGCAGCCTCAGCTGGGGCCAGGGGGTACGGGACACTGGTGGCCTGAAGTGAAATAACTAACCCACATTTCCTCCCCGTGGCCCTGGTGTTCCCCATCAGACACCCTGAAACACCTCATCCCATCTCTGCTACCCTGATGGACACGCTGGAGAAGCCGCAGGACTGGCACAAACCACCGCTGGCTCTGGATCCTTTGGCTGAAGGATGGTTGCATGGAAGACAACATCGGGACAAGCGACCTTGGACATCCCATCCCACCAAATCCCAGGGTCTTCCCCAGCTTCCAGAGATGCCATTTAGGAGCTCAGCAGCTCTCACTGAGGACATGGGACTCCTCCGTGCCATGATGGGGATCATAGCGGGAGCATCCCTTTCCCCTGTATTCCCCAGGAGCTGCAGGTATCATTTCCAGCCCATCAAACCCGCTGTGAAAAGGGAGCAGGAGCACAAGCAGGATACCGGGAATGCTCTCAGGGCCCTCTCAAGGGGAGTGCACGGCAGGACCCGTATTTACCCTTCCTGCAGCAGCAGCCTCCATTAGGCACAGCCCATGCTCGGGGCAGCAGCCCGGGGCTGTCAGATGGAGCCGGGGGGGAGCAGCGCTCGCTGCTCGGCGGCATTAGAGGGCTCATTAGTCACCGTGTTCCGGGCAAGCTCAGAGCGCTCCCGCTTGCATTGTCACCAGCAGACGGGTGTTTTCCTGGAGCCTGAGGCTCTTTCCCGCTGTGTTTCACGGCGGGGGGCTCTGTGCAAGCCTTTGGGATGTGGTTCCGAGCATCCCGGCTTTGGCACAGCATCCCCACTAAGTGAACCTGCCTCATGGCCCGGCCCCAAATGCCATCCCTCGGCCTCCAGCACCCCCAGAGTGTGGCTTGGCCCAGGTATCTCCTCGCCCTGAAAGCTCCCACTCTATCGTGGTGGGATTCCAGCACCTCTCCAGCCATCCTGCCTCACCCAGGCCAGTGCAGGGGCTCTGGTAACACCGAACCCCCAAATAGGAAGCCAGAAGACGCGGATGCACCATGGAGGATGCCAGTGGCCCCCCTCAGAAGGGGCAGCTCTGTGGTGAGGGTCACTGTGACTCGGAGCGTGTTCAGCCCAGGGTGGTTGGAAAAATCCTGCCAGGAAAAGCATGGAGCTGGATTTGACCACCTCGCCTGAAGGTGTCCACTGGGAAGCTCTCCTGTGGCATGGGAACACCGGGTTTGCTCCTGAGGCTCCGGGTTTTATTCCTGCCGGCTCATCCCTTCTCATGCCTCCAACATGATGGGGTTGGCTCTTCCTTGGTGGGATTTGGCTCTTCCCATGCAGCCAAAATGAGCTCCCAGCTTCTCAAGGGAACTGCTCACTATGGCCCGTCCCACAAAGGGGATAAAGCTGAAATCCACATGGCCAAAGGCTGCGATACCTGGTGATGTCCGAAGCTGCCAGCCACGCTCCTGCCCTCAGTACATGCTGGGTCCCCTTGGTGTTCCCTCAGTCCAGAGCAGGGAAGCATCTCACTGTCCTTACCCACAGCCCCATGAGCTCAATCCATCCAGGAGAAGAGATAGGAGCAGCTTCTCCCAGCTGGTGTTTAGCTGGGTGCCATCTGCCTGGGTGACAACAGTGACGGGCCCCATCTCATCCGGTGGCTGCTTGGCTGGCAGCAACACGTGAATCCCAGCCAGTGGTGCCGTACCAGGGACACTCCAGGCTCCATCCTGAGTTCTTGGTGCCATGGGGACTGGGCATGGTCTGTGCCATGCCAAGATCTGGCGTTCCAAAAGGCAAAGCCCCAGCTTACAGCACACTGATGTCTTCCCCTCCCGCTGCTTCCATCCCCAATGCCCGTGGGAGATGTCCACGGGGGTGGCTGGAAGTGCGGGGAAAATCCGCTTCCACCTTGTGCTCCCACCCCATCTCCCCATCATTCCCCCCAGCACTGCCCTGGCAGGGCCTCACCTTCTCCCTCCTGCCGCTCTCCATCCTGGCTCTGTGATCGAGCATGGGGACAGCCGTGGGGGCCGAGCAGCAGCGCCTGGCCCGGGAAGCAAACCCCGTTCCCCGTCCCGCCGGGCGTGCGGAGGGCGCTGCGCTGCTCCGTGCCTCGCACCGCCGGAGGATGCTCCACTTTCGCCGCTTTATCTCATCCGATGCCTCTGCAGCACCCACGGAGGGGGGTCCCGCTCCCCCCCGACCTCCGGCCCTTCAAGCGCAGGGGCAGGGAGAGGGGCCCGGCGCCCCGGCGTGCTCGGCGCTCTCGCCCCGCATCCTCCGCACCGGTCACGCTCTCCGCACTCGCTTCCTTCCACCGGGGAGGTTGTTGGGGTGGGTTTGGGTCAGGAGCGCACCCCGCTGGGGTTGTCCGGCCGGCGGGGAAGTCCCGGTGTGGCGGCGAGGCTCGGCCCCGTCATGCGGAGCACCACGCCCCGGGCCACCCGTGTCCCCGCTCCAGTTGTCATATCAACGGCTCGATGCGCTGCCCGCGGTGGCAAGCACTCCACCGGACGGCTTAGCAACCCAGCGCGCTCCCATGGAGACCGCGCCGGGCAGGAGGAGCCGGCGGCTGCGTGGCAAAGGTTACGGCCGCCCGGCGAGGGGCGAGGGGAGTGCTCTGCGCCTCCGGGATGGGAAAGCGCCGGTGGTGCCGGGGTTCACGGCGGAATGCGGGCAGCCACTGGTTTTCGGGGAGGGGGACACGGTGAACCCCCCCGTTGTCCCTGGATAGGTGCCGTCGGACAAGTATTGAGGGGTCCACGGGGCAATGAGGCTCGTGGGGGTCCCGATGGGCAATAGGATGCTCCTGGCCACTGGTGAACCCCAAATCCTCCCGGTGCTGGCCCGTGGCAGCGTGTCCCATCCTATGGAGCTGGGAAGGGACAGGGGGGGTCCTCTGAGGGGGAGGACGGGGGGAACCGCAGACAATGGGCTGCGCTGCGGGCAAGGCGGAGGGTTTGGGGGTGTCACTGCAGGGCAGGGAGGGGTCCGGGCTGCCCCACAGGGGGCAAAGGGGCGCCCGTCCCCAGCGCCCCATCGAGGGGGACACGCTCGCAGAGGGCTCCGCCCCCCCCCCGCGCCCAGTACAGCGCCCCCCTCTGGCGGCTCTGCGAGAGAAGCCCCGCCCCTCCATCGCACGTATGGCGCTGATTGGTCACCCATCTCGAAGGCGTGTCCAGCGGGCTGATGGGCGTGGTCTGAGGGCGTGAAGCAGGCCGTCATTGGTTATTATTCCGAGGGGAGGGCGGGGCGGAGCCGGCGCCTGCGCAGGGAGGGGGAAGCCCCGTGGCAGTGGCCGGCGCCGGACGTCACTTCCCGCAGGCGCGGTTCCACGTCCGGGTTGTGCTCGGTCCGGTCCCGGCCACCGCCTCAGAGCCGCCGGTACCGGATGAGGGGGACTTGGGGGGGACCGGTACCGGATGGGTCGGATCGGGGGGGATCGGACCGGGGGGGGGGGTCGGACCGGGGGGGGGTCTCACCGGCTGCGGCCCGTTCATCACCCCTGGTCTCGTCCCTCCGCGCAGGAGCCGCCGCTATGAGGCTCTACAGCCTCAGTGTCCTGTACCGGGGCGACCCCAAGGTGCGGCTGCTGAAAGCGGCCTACGACGTGTCCACGTTCAGCTTCTTCCAGCGGTCCAGGTGGGTGCGGGAGCGCCGGGGGACACCGGGGGACACCGGGGGAAGGGAGAGGGGTCCCCGGTGCGCTGCGGGAGGGGGAGCTGTGGCCCCGCGTACGCGGTCTGAGGGTGCCGGAGCCCCCTGGAAGAGCACGAAAGCTCCGTTTCCCGCAGGAGCAGCCCGGGGCCGGCAGCAGGAGGGCGGGTTTGAGCCGTAGAGCCTCCGGAAGCGATGGGAACCCCCTGGTGCTGGGAGGAGGCTGCTCGGTGCCGGCGCCCCACGCCCCACGCCTCCGCTGCCCTCTCATTTACCTGCTTGGGCTCAGCCGAAGCATTCCCCAGCCCTCAAACCCCGCTGGGGTCATTGCGGCACCTGCAGGTTCCGGCTCCCCTGCTCCAGGTTGCTCATGGAGCTCTCCCAGCGGCTCCTAAAAGGCTCTAAAAGTGTAAAATGAAGCAGGTGGGTTCCAAGCACCCTGCTCCAGACGCTAAAAGCTTTAGGAAATGCCCACAGGACTCACATTTTCCATGCCAAGTTTTCATGGAGCCTCCAGCACGATTGGTTCTGCAATTCCAGGGATAAAGGGAAAATACCAAACTAAGAGCAGCTGAAAGCCAGGCTTGCTTAGCCAAATGTGTGAGAGGGATAAAGGGGCTGTGCCGGCCCTTGAGGCTGGAGTGCAGTGGGTGAAATAATCACTGAACAACCCTGATGCTTCCTGCTTGTGGCTCCCAGTGTTACAGATGCTGAGAAGAGTCCTTTTGGGGTTTTGCTGCTGGCCACAGGCAGGGACCCCTTCCACTGGAGCAGCTTGCTCCAAGCCCCTGTGTCCAACCTGGCCTTGAGCACTGCCAGGGATGGGGCAGCCACAGCTTCTCTGGGCACCCTGTGCCAGCGCCTCAGCACCCTCACAGGGAAGAGCTTCTGCCTCAGAGCTCAGCTCAGTCTCCCCTCGGGCAGGTTCAAGCCATTCCCCTTGGCCTGGCCCTACAGGCCCTTGTCCCAAGCCCCTCTCCAGGTTCCCTGCAGCCCCTTCAGGCACTGGAGCTGCTCTAAGGTCTCCGTTCCATGCAGCAGAGGGGCAGGATCCCCTCCCTGAGCTGCTGCTCACGCTCTGGGGCTGCAGCCCAGCACATGGGGGGGGTTCTGGGCTCAAGCACCCACTGAAGCCAGCTTGTGTGGAGCCTCTTGTTACCCAGCACTCCCAAGGCCTTCTCCTGAGGCTGCTGCATCCAGGCTCCCCCAGCCTGTGTCTGGGACAGTCCTGAGCGGTCTGCAAGGGAATGGAGTTTCCAGTGGCTGATTCCTCCAGGAATACTGGGAGTTCCATGGGCTGTGGCTGCAGCAGATCTCCCAGGCCAGGGGACCATGCTGCGCCTCTGACGTTGGCCAGAGCAGATTTAAGCAATCTTTGGGCTGGTTTTCTCTGTACAGCACTGGAAACGCGGTGGTTCAGAGTCCTGATGGAGCCAGTGTCTCATCCCATAGCATCCAGCCTGGGATTGGTGCATCCCCCCCAAGGAGCGTGGAACTGGGAGAGGCAGACCCCTGTGTGGGGCTTACAGTGGGGGGGCTGTGGGGTCTGTGGTTGTTGATGCTTCCTTGGCATCACTTGAAGCTCCAGAGCCGGGGGTGTGGGAGCAAACCTGACTTTGGCTCAAAGCATGGGGTGTGATGGCCTCATGCAGGAGAAGGGACTGGAGTGCTCCTCACCATGAGCAGGGCACAGCCTCACTGCTGGCTTTGGGCATGGCTCTGGCTCAGTGCTGGCTGAGGTCTTTGTCGGTGGCTGCAGCTCTGTATGGACACAGGCTTGGAGGCCTCATTCCCTGATGCGGTGGTGGGGATACGGCCGCATGGGACAGCCCCTGTCCCGCTTTGTGCTTCCAGCGTGCAGGAGTTCATGACCTTCACGAGCCAGCTGATCGTGGAGCGCTCGGAGCTGGGCAGCAGAGCCTCTGTCAAGGAGCAAGGTGAGGGTAACGCGGGGCCACAAGTGCTGCTTCCTCCTCTGCTTCTGATGGGAGCTGAGACCTCGGAGGGCAGCCGGGTGAGTGGCACCGAAGGGGTGAGGTTGTTGAGCTCGGCCCACCCTTGAGAGAGCAGCAGGGACCTGCCCCACAGCCAGCAGCCCCCTTGGAGCCCACACAGCCTCCTCCTGCCCCTCACCCTTGGGCTCTGCCCTGTGAGTGCTGGCTCCATACCCTGACCTCTGGCCTGTGCAGGGTGCGGCCTGGAAGCAGCTTAATGACACTGCAGGCTGGTGACACCTTGTTGTTGGTGTTAAATCAGGCCAAGTGCTCCTCCTGTGCTGTTTGTTCAGCCCTGGCAGGACCTGCTCCCTGCCCTATGGAGCCAGGCTGCCCTCACCTCCATAAGCACCACTGGGGACCGATTCAGAGCTGCCTTTGAGCCCTTCCTGCTCTTGTCATGAGGTGTAGTCACCGGTGGCAGCTTCCAGGGGGTGGGTGGATGAGCTCCGGGGCCGGGTGGGTGCTGGGGGTGCCTCTGTGACGTGAGCTCTGTGCCCAGAGTACCTCTGCCACGTGTACGTCCGGAACGATGGCCTGGCCGGGGTGGTGATCGCAGACAACGAGTACCCCCCGCGGGTCTGCTTCACCTTGCTGGACAAGGTGAGTGTGGGGCTGGGCTGGGGACCTCCCTCCTCAAGCACCCAACCCATCAGTGGGGGGATCTCAGAGCTGGGTTGAGCCCAAAGCCTCTTGAGCGATAGCACAATGTGGCTTTGCCTACCAGGACTGAGCTCCTCATGAGCATCCTCTCTGCTGTGGGGTTTATGTGGGGCCAAAGCCCCGTGGTTAGTGGGTGACAGGGTGCAGTGGGGACAGCCACCCCTCCCTGGTGTGGGCACTGCTCTGTTTGCTGAGGAGCTTGGGGTCTGTCTCCTTCAAAGGGGAACAAGGAGGAGAAACATCATAGGATCATAGAACAGTTTGGGTTGGAAAGGACCTTAAGGTCAGCCGGTCCCAACCCCTTGCCATGGGCAAGGATGCTTCATGCTAGACCACATCACCCAAGGCATTGCCCAACCAGGCCCTGAACACTGCCAGGGATGGGGCATTCACCACATCTCTGGGCGCCCTGTGCAGCACCCTGCAGCTTCTTACACCTGAGATCCCCTGGGTTTGAGGAGCAGACCCCTCCTGGTGGCTATGGCAGAGCCCATGGCAGTGACCCCCATGTCCGTGTGCCGCAGGTGCTGGATGAGTTCTCCAGGCAGGTCAGCAGAGCAGACTGGCCCTCGGGATCCCCAGCGACCATCACCTACACAGCCCTGGATGGGCACCTCAGCAAGTACCAGGTACAGCCCGCATGGCACAGGGACGGGGAGCCACAGGGTGCCAGGGTGCTGATGTCCCTGTTATTTCTCTCCCAGAACCCCCGTGATGCTGACCCCATGACCAAAGTGCAGGCAGAGCTGGATGAGACCAAGATCATCCTGGTGAGGAGAACCCCGAGGCTGCAGTCCCATCCTGCATCCTCCCCTCTCCAGAGAGATTCCTGTGGGTGCTTACGGTCCCCTTCGCTCCTTCCCCTTTGTTTTCTCCTGTCCCAGTGTCCCAGTGCAAGCAGCAGGGCACTCACCCTCCTCCCTTCCCATTGTTACTGGGGCTGGGATTGCTCCCTCCCTCACCGGGGCTGTGGGAAGAGGGGGCTCATCCCGGGGTGCAGCAGTACCCGAGTCTGCTGGGTGCCGGTGCCGTGGGTTAGCACCAGTTTCCTTGGCAGCACAACACCATGGAGTCACTGCTGGAGCGAGGGGAGAAGCTGGATGACCTGGTCTCCAAATCAGAGGTGCTGGGGGCACAGTCCAAAGCCTTCTACAAAACTGTGAGTGCAGGGGGAGGCCCTGTCCTGGGGCACCAGTGATGGGCTGGGATCAATCCCTGGGGAAGAGGATGTGTAAAGGAACTGGTTGGATGGCTGTGGTCAATGGCTCAGTGTCCAGCCAGAGACTGGTGATGAGTGGGGTCCCTCGGGTTGGTGTTGGCACTGATCCTGTTCAGTGTCTTTGTCAGTGACATGGACACTGGGCTCGAGCACCCTCAGCAGGGTTGTGCTGGCACTGAGCTGTGTGGTGCGGGGGGGACACTGGAGGGAATGGGGGGGATCCAGAGGGATCTGGACATGCTGAGAGGTGCCCGGTGCCAACCTCATGGAGCTCAGTAAGGCCAAGGCAAGGTCCTGCCCCTGGGTCAGGGCAGTCCCAGCACAGACAGAGGTTGGGTGGAGAAGTGACTGAGAGCAGCCTGAGGAGAAGGACTTGGGGGTGCTGGGTGAGAAGCTCCCCATGACCCAGCTTCAGTGGGCGCTTGAGCCCAGAGCCCCCCCGTGTGCTTGGGCTGCACCCCCAGAGCGTGAGCAGCAACTTGGGGGTGGGGGGGGGATTTTGCCCCTGTTCTGGGCTCTGGGGAGACCCCCCCCCCCTGCAGCCCTGTGTGCAGTGCTGGGGTCCCCAGCATAAGGACATGGAGCTGGTGGAGCGAGTCCAGAGGAGGCCACGAGGATGCTCAGGGGCTGGAGCAGCTCCTGTATGGAGCCAGGCTGAGAACATTGGGGCTGGAGAAGAGAAGCTGCGTGGAGACCTCAGAGCAGCTTCCAGTGTGTGAAGGGGGCTGCAAGGATGCTGGAGAGGGGCTCTGCATCAGGGACTGTAGGGATGGGACAAGGGGTGATGGGTTCAGACTGAAACAGGGGGAGTTCAGGTTGGAGATAAGGAAGAAGTGATTTATGTGAGGGTGCTGAGGCGCTGGCACAGGGTGCCCGGAGAAGCTGTGGCTGCCCCATCCCTGGCAGTGCTCAAGGCCAGGTTGGACACAGGGGCTTGGAGCAAGCTGCTCCAGTGGAAGGGGTCCCTGCCCATGGCAGTGGTTGGAGCTGGATGGGCTTTAAGTTCCCATGAGCCCAAACCCTTCTGTGCTGGGCAGGGATCACCGTCCTCTGTGTGTGGGACTCCTTGAGGCATCCCTTGCCCTGTGGCTGGTGCCCATCCCAGCTCTGTTGGTCCCTGGTGCTGATCCTGGCTCCGGTGATGCAGAGCTCCTTGTCTGGGGGTGCAGTGCGGGCAGGACGGGGCTCTGCAGCCTCACTGCTGCTTTCCCTTCTCTTCCCAGGCCCGGAAGCAGAATTCCTGCTGTGCCATCATGTGACACAGACCCCACATCTCCTGCTCCGGACCTCCAGCCCCGCGCTGCCCTTCGGCAGGAGCCGCAGCGCGCGCCCAGGCCGGCACTGAAGTGACTTTATGGCCCCATGTCCAGGGGCTGGTATGGGGCCGGTGCCCATGGGGCAGAGGGGGAGCACTGGAGCCCCCTGGCCCTTGTGTACCCCCAGGGCAGCCGGGACCACTGGGCACTGGACAAGGTCCCCTCCCCATTGCCCCATGGCCTTTCCCAGTGCCTCGGGGGTGAGGGGGTGTCTGTGTGCCCCAAGGGTGAGCCAGGGGGTGGGGAGGGGGGGAAGCAGAAGTGCTTTCCCATGGTGGGGGGGTGCTTGCTGCTGGGATATTATTGCCTGTGCCCAGGGAGGGGGTCACCTCTGGGTGCCTTTGGTGGTGGTGTGGGATGGGACAGCCCCCGCGGGGGGCTCAGGATGGGGGGGGGGGGGGCTGTCTGTGTGTCCCCCCCTTTGACCCAGTGAAACCAGCCCCAGGGATGCGGTGCCTGCACCAGTGGGAGGGAAGCAGGGCCGGGGAAGGGGGGGGGGGGTTCCTGCTTCCCACCCCTGCTCCCATCACCTCGGGGGGGCTCCATCAGCCCCCGCTGCCTCCTCTTCCTCCTGTGGAAGGGGGAAGCAGAGCTTTTGCTTGAGGTTGTATCGTGGTCGGTGTTGCTGTCGGTCCCGGGCCCTGGCCCACAGCGCCCAGGCAGGATAAAATTGTCTTTGGCGCTTGTTGCCCCGCTCTGGCTCTGTCTGGGTGGGAATCATGGAATCGACCTTGGGAAAGCCCTTTAAGCTCATCCAGTCCAACCCTTACCCGGCACTGCCGAGGCCACCGCTGACCCATGGCACTGAGGCCTCGGCTCCATGGGGTGTGAACACGTATAGAATAGTTAGGGTTGGAAAGGACCTTAAGATCATCCAGTTCCAACCCCTGTGCCATGGGTAGGGACACCTCACACTAAACCATGGCACCCAAGGCTCTGTTCGACCTGGCCTTGAACACTGCCAGGGATGGAGCATTCACAACCTCCCTGGGCACCCATTCCAGTGCCTCATCACCCTAGCAGGAAAGGATTTCCTCCTTATATCCAATCTAAACTTCCCCTGTTTCAGTTTTAACCCATCACCCCTTATCCTATCACTACAGTCCCTAATGAAGAATCCATCCCCAGCATCCCTATAGCCCCCCTTCAGACACTGGAAGCTGCCCTGGTGCAGCTTGAGGCCGGTTCCTCTTGTCCCACCCCATGGGAGCACAAGGGCTCCTTCCTGCTGCCTGCCAGTTGTAGAGAGCAGTAAGATCCCCCCCTTTATCCATTGGTTTTCCTCATAATTTATTTGCAGTTTTCCCGAGACAAAAACGAAATCCAAGGAATCTTTTACACTTACAAGGCTCAGAAAGAAAAGACGAAGGGTTTTGTTTGGTTGTTTTTTGGAGGGGGGCAGGAAGTGGGTGGAAAAAGAATGAGAGAGAAAAAGGGGGAGAGAAGAGTCAAATTTGGCAACGATCCACCAGCATTCATGGGACAGAAACAGCTCAGCTCAGCTCCTCAACATACAGCGTTAGCGCCCGAGGGTTGCTCCCGCGCAAAGGGCATGCAGAAACGACTGATCAGGATTAAAAAAGAAGAATCATCATCATCATCATCATCATCATCATAATAAATACCCCAAACCCCCCCCCAAGCCCAAACCAGCCCCCAGCAACACGGTGCCTCTGGATGTGGATGGAGATGGGCCAATGGGAAGCGCATGGCCGAGCTGGGGAGGTTGGGGGTGCCAGGGGGTGTGTGTGTGTCCCCTGAGAGGGGAAGGGGTGCGGGAGGGGAGCACTGCCCGGTGCCATGGGGGGGACCCCCGGCGGAGCAGCCTGTGCCCCCTAAGAGACCCGTTCTCTTAGTCTAAAGTGCTTTCGATGCTGCGTCAGTGCTGGCTGGATCGCCCCGAGCCCCTGTCCCAGCCCTGGTACATGGCACCCCCCCCACCCCAAGCCCCATCACCCCCATAAAACCCATCAGCACCCAGAGGTGCCTCTGTCACCAGGCAGGGGACACGGAGGTGGCACCCACCGTACCCCCAGCACCGGGACTTTGCGGAGTGGGGGGGGGGTGCCCCTTGTGTGTGCACCCCCCCCCCCCAAACCCCCCCCTCCCCAGCAGCCGGGGCCCCCCCATGGGAATTCAAAAATAAAGAGCTCTCTCTATGTACAGGGACGGGGAGAGCGAAAGCGGAGCCCAAAGAACAACATCCACCACCAGCAACAGCGACACGCCACAAGCACAGCCGGGGCCGGGGGGGGCCGGGCCGGGACCCCCCTCCCTGCCACAGCCGGGAGACACCCCCAGGCGGAGACAGGCAGAGAGAGAGGGGATGGGGGGGGGGGGGTCTGGCTATGGGAGCGCCCCCCCCCCCCCAGTCCCCACCTAGGGCTGGATGTGGGGTGGGGGTTGGGGCTCCCCCCCCTCTTTTTTTTTTTATAATTTTGGCATTTTTGGGGTTTTTTTGTGTGTTTTTTTTTTTTTGTCTTTTTGTTTTCTGCAAACACAGGCACTGGAGGGGAGGAGCGGGGGGGTTCGGGGGGGTACAGGCATGCGGACGCGTGCTTCGGGGCCGCAGCTCCGGCTGCCGGCTCGGCTCCCATCGCCGGCTCCGTCAGGCTGGAACCAGGACAGCCACCGCCAGCCCTGCGGGGATGCGGGGGGGTGAGGCCGATCCGGGGGACCCCCGTTAACCCCCCCCAACTCCCCCTGCTTTCACCTCCATTCACTGCAGCGGGGCGACCGGGGCCCCCGAGCCGTGGAAGTGGACGTTCTGCCACTTGCCGTCGCGGCGGTGCCACACGCGGGTCTCCTCGGACTGGCTGGTGCGGGGCCGGCCCTGGGCATCGATGTACTGCGTGAGGCGGATGTAGGCGATGCAGGCGGCGTCCTCGCCGATGACGTGAACGTGCGGGTTCAGGATCGTCGTGTGGATGGGTTTGTTGTTCTTGGAGAGCACTGCGGGGAGGCCGGCGGGTGAGGGGGGCAGCGGGATGGATGGGGGGGGCCATGCGGGATGGGAGGGGTGGGTGGGTGAGGGTGGGCAGGGTGCTGGCAGAGCTGGGTGATGGCCACAGGCTGGGGCAGGCAGGGACCAGGGAGAGGATGGGGAAAGGGAGCAAGCAAGGGACTGGTGGGACACAGGCAGGGGCAGACAGGGCAGGGGATGGAGAAGTCTGGGGGGCAGATGGGGGGCAGACAGGGACAGGGGAGAACAAGCAGGGGGAGGGCTGGGGACAGGTGACAAGAGAGGATGGACAGAGGGACAGGCAGGCAGATGGGGAGGATGGAAGGGGATGGGCTGGGTGAGGACAGGCAGGACATGGGCACAGGTAGAGCACAGGCAGGGCACAGGCAGGGCAGAGATAGGGCACAGGCAGGGCACAGGAGGGTGCCGGCGGGGTGCAGGCATAGGCAGAGAGAGGGCAGGGTGCAAGGCAGAGGCAGGCACAGTGCAGGGCAGAGGCAGGGAGCAGGCAGAGTGCAGGGCACAGGCAGGGTGCAGGCAGGGCGCAGGGCACAGGCAGGATGCAGGCAGGGTGCAGGGCACAGGCAGGATGCAGGCAGGGCGCAGGGCACAGGCAGGATGCAGGCAGGGTGCAGGGCACAGGCAGGATGCAGGCAGGGTGCAGGGCACAGGCAGGATGCAGGCAGGGTGCAGGGCACAGGCAGGGTGCAGGGCACAGGCAGGGTGCAGGGCACAGGCAGGGCGCAGGGCACAGGCAGGATGCAGGCAGGGCGCAGGGCACAGGCAGGGTGCAGGCAGGGCGCAGGGCACAGGCAGGGTGCAGGCAGGGCGCAGGGCACAGGCAGGGTGCAGGCAGGGCACAGGGCACAGGCAGGATGCAGGCAGGATGCAGGGCACAGGCAGGGTGCAGGCAGGGCACAGGGCACAGGCAGGATGCAGGCAGGATGCAGGGCACAGGCAGGGTGCAGGGCACAGGCAGGATGCAGGGCACAGGCAGGGTGCAGGCAGGGCGCAGGGCACAGGCAGGGTACAGGCAGGGTGCAGGCAGGGTGCAGGGCACAGGCAGGATGCAGGCAGGATGCAGGCAGGATGCAGGGCACAGGCAGGATGCAGGCAGGGTGCAGGGCACAGGCAGGATGCAGGGCACAGGCAGGATGCAGGCAGGGTGCAGGGCACAGGCAGGATGCAGGGCACAGGCAGGGTGCAGGCAGGGTGCAGGGCACAGGCAGGATGCAGGCAGGATGCAGGGCACAGGCAGGATGCAGGCAGGGTGCAGGGCACAGGCAGGATGCAGGGCACAGGCAGGGTGCAGGCAGGGCGCAGGGCACAGGCAGGTGCAGGCAGGGTGCAGGGCACAGGCAGGGTGCAGGCAGGGTGCAGGGCACAGGCAGGATGCAGGCAGGGCGCAGGCAGGGTGCAGGGCACAGGCAGGGCGCAGGGCAGAGGCAGGGTGCAGGGCACAGGCAGGATGCAGGCAGGGCGCAGGGCACAGGCAGGGCGCAGGGCACAGGCAGGGCACAGGCAGGATGCAGGCAGGATGCAGGGCACAGGCAGGATGCAGGCAGGGTGCAGGGCACAGGCAGGGCGCAGGGCACAGGCAGGATGCAGGCAGGGTGCAGGGCAGAGGGAGGATGCAGGCAGGGTGCAGGGCACAGGCAGGATGCAGGCAGGGCGCAGGGCACAGGCAGGGTGCAGGGCACAGGCAGGGTGCAGGCAGGGCGCAGGGCACAGGCAGGGTGCAGGCAGGGCGCAGGCAGCACCGGGCACTCACAGTTCTCAAAGTAGAAGCGGTGGAAGTCCATCCCCTCCACCAGGTTGCCCAGAGCCTCGGGCTCGAAGGAGGTGAGCCCCGGGTCGCAGATCTTCCTGTGGGGCAGCCATGGGGCAGCCGTGGGGCAGCAGCGGCCACGGCCCCCCCCCCCAAACCCCCCCTGTGACCCCACTCACGCGTAGGCCTCGAAGTCCCCGTTGTTGACGGCCTCAATGAGCTGCTCTGTGATCTTGATGATCTCCTGCTTACGGGCTGGAGGGCCACCGGCACCATCACCACCCTGACCCCATGCCCT